GAGCAAAAGACCTCCTCCCCCAGCACAGCCAAGTGCAGACCATCTCAGACACCTGCACTCAGGCCCGTGGTCCTGATCATCCTCTATTTGGACCTGCTGGGTAAAGCCACGAGGAACCCCAGAACGGGCTCCCACACCATTTGAACTACAACTGCATCTCCTTGTTTGATTCTTTAGCAATGTGTCAAAAGTAAGCACAAATAATTATAGTACTTAATGTGACAAAGGAACTATCAATTATTTTAAAATATTTTCAAATTTCTACTTTGGGACATCACTTGTATTATTTTTTTTTTTTTACTCAAAAATATACTTAAATTTTATCCATATTAAAAAAGAATGCATACTATCTGGTGTTGCAACTCAACTAAAGAAAATGTTGTCTAAGCTAATAGCAATAGTAGAAAGGGTTCTTGACCTGACCTACCCCAGTAATCAGATTGGTGAATACAGAGTTGTCATCATAGAGCCTTTCTCCAGTAACTGAAGGAAGCAGGTGCAGAGATCCACAGTCAAACACCAGGCCTAGCTCCAGGAGTCCAGTTGAAGAGAGGGAAGAAGAGTTCTATAAGCAAGGGGCATCAAGATCATGATGGGGAATCCTATAGAGACAACCAAACCAAACTAGTGGGAACTCATGAAATTTAGAACAACAGCTGTGGAGCCTGCATGGGACTGGACTGGGTCCTCTGCCTAAGTGAGACAGTTTTGTAGCTTGATCTGCTGAAGGGGCCCCTGGCAGTGGGATCAGAATCCATCCCTGGTGCATGAGCTGGCTTTTTGGAGCCCACTACCTATGGTGGGACACCTCCCACAGCCTTGAGGCAGAGGAGGTTGGGGGTGGGGGGAGCTTGGACATGTCTCTACTGAATAAACCAGGCTCTGCTGACTCCCTATGGGAGGTCGTACTTTTTTGTAGGATAGAATGGGGTGGGTTATGTGGGGAAGGCTGGAGGGGCAGGAGGAGAGAAGAGGGGGATCTGTGATTGGTATGTAAAATGAATAAAACATTTCTTAATTAAAAAAAGAAAAGTAAAAAACAGTTGTCTAAGTCAATTAAAATTTGTTGATTCATTGTACTACAATAAGCAACTTAAATACTCTGAAAACTCTTGGCATAACTATAGCAAAAAGTTTTCTGCAGTCACATTTGTATCACTTTATCCTAATTAACATCTTTTTTAACTTGAGACAATTTCTTTCAGAAATACCTATTCTGAACTGTGTGATAGTCTCCATTCCTTAGTTTTCAGTTCACTTTTCCTCACAAACATCATGTTTTCCCCTTACTCTTGATTTGTTTGGGTTTTGTGATTAATTTTCATAATTGCAGATATCCCCCAATTACTTGGAGGTATTTTCAATTTGCTATCTAGGTCTCATAAATCTATATTTTGCCATATAAAACATAATAAATCACTCTGTAAACAGTTGTGTTCTTGTTATTCTTATTGTTGTAAATTGTAACTTAAAATTCTAAGAAAATTAAAAGAATAATAAAACACAAAAGTAAAAAGTGTCAAACTTGGATTAGTGATGTGTAAATGATAGCTTTTTCTGAATCTTAAAAATCAACCCCATACATACAATATGGGACATTTTTAAAAGCTTGAGTTATTTTTCACTCCATGCTTGCTCTGACACTTCACATCCAATCCATCAACAAAACCCATGGGTTTTGAAATACATCCAGGGGCAGTTGAAATTGCTCTGGATAGCTGCAGCTCCACGTCTCAACTCTGAGTATGTGTCTGTTTCAATATGACTTTCTTCATGATGTTTACCTGACTAACGGACATCAAACACACTTGTGTCTCATCCCTAAGGGCTCAACTGAAATAAAATGAAATGAGGATTCTCCGCTGTGAATGAAAGTTTACAGGGTAAGCAGTGTAAATTAAGATTAAAACGAGCCAGCAGGACAATGTTTTGATTTTGTGACTCTTCTCTGGATGGGAAAATGAAGAGAAGCTGCTATGGAAATAAGACAACAATTCCTACTACCCTGCTGAGAGGTTGTATAGCTATGGATAATAAGGATTTATGTGTAGAAGTACCTGAAATGAAGAGTCCACAGAGATGAGGGCAAAATGAGCCATATGCATGCATCTGCCAGAAACAATTAGATATACAACTTTGCAAAATGTATAAAAGATTAAAAAGAATGTTTATTATTTGTATTACTATTATGATTATTATCATATTATTATTACTTTGATTAATCTCTACATGATTGACAACTGGGACTTCTTACCCATGATCACATGAAGAGATAATAAATAATAATAAGAGTAATAAACTCCTTTGTATTCTTAGAGAGGAAAACACACATGCACCACACCCTCCACACACACAATGCACAATTCACTCATGGATGAAAAACACAAGGTACCATTTTTTTTTTATTTCAAATGAATCTATCATTGCAAGAGTGCATTCCTTACCATCATATTTTTGTATTCTTCCATAGTTCATAATATAACTAAAGGATGTTATCTTATTATGTACTGTTGTATAAGTGAAGTGACCATTGTTCTTTCTAATGTTATCCAGCAATAACATTACAGAAGTTTTAGAAGATGAACACAAAATTACCGTTCATCTTGAGAAACTAAAGGCATCAGGAATAATGAGTGTTATATTTCTCAGTATAATACATCTTCCTGGGTGGGGCACATCAACTGGTACCATTGATTTGTAGTGTAACATTATCAACCCAAATCTGTTTTTTCATCCCATGAAACTGAGGGGAAAAAAGCCACTAACTATTCATGGGAATTGACTGATAGAACTTTACTAAGCTTTTTCTGGCTTATCCCTGCAATAAATTTATGTATAAAAGCTGATAACAACCATAGTGGTGTATGTTGTTCAACCTTAACTCTAGGTAAGACACTAACCTGGTTATTCATGGCACTAATAAAATCTAAGAGTTCCTTGCATTTCTCCAGCTAATTAAATTAATTATTCATAGGTATAATTTTACTGATTCCTAAATCCATGTTGTTGGCCAGCCTGACTGCTCTACTGCATTAAAAAGTCCACACCAACAAACTCAAGGAACTACTTTAGCATCACAGTCTCTTAGGAAAAAATGAAGCTGCTGAATAGACAGTCTGAGCTCTTCTGTAGATGAACAAAGACTACTTCTCTGATGAGAGTCACAAAAAATCTAGGTGTTTGGCTGTCAACCATGAAACATGGAGCCATACTTACTCTGTCTTACCACAAAAGGTCTGTGACTCCTTAATCCAGTCCATACTCTTGCATTCATCCTAGACTCTAAATCAAATCAACACAGCTGAAAAACTCTCATTTATTATCTATTAATTTGTTTATAGCTGTATAGGTCATAAGTTGAATTTGACATGATCCAGTTCTCTCACAAATATTCCAATGTCAAAGTAAGCCATTGCAGAGTCTAGTTTCATTTGGTCCTATCTCTAATTATATACTTCTTTATTAACCTGTGTTCTGGATGAAGTGCTCTCACTACTTTTGTTTACTCTCAGCTACTACAGGAGAGAAATACAATTTGACTCAAGAACCCTTCTGTATTCAAGCCAGCAACAGTTTGTATTATCTTTTTTTCCTGCTTCTGAAGTATGACTTTATGCTTTGTCTCTACTCAAAGAAAACAGTCTAATTCAGTTCAAGATTACAGTGATCCTTCTTCTTGTCTGCTGATGTTAGCCCTGTTTTCAAAAATATCTGTAAAATATGCTACCCCAAGCAATAACAATAAAATATAATAAAATTAATATTCTATGCTGGATATTTCCCATTGAACAATGGACCAATTTGTATCCAGGCTAGTAGCACACAAAAACAAAACAAGACAAAACACATGAACATGGGAAAGCCATCAAATTGCTCCCCGGTAAGTTCAAAATTCCACTACCAATATGGGTCAGACTCATAAGAAATGAAAAATCTTTCCTTGAGAGTTAGACTATGAGTGTTTATGGACTATTGATCAGTCTACAGGAAGACTAGCAACTGTAGCTTCCTCTTCCCAGGTGTTACAGCCAGAGATGGCTATCCTTCAGTGATCTCCTAACCACTCTGCCAGTGTCCTACCTAACGAGCACATTGATGATCTAAGTTGCTGTAGGAGCAGAAGGGAACCCCACCTGATCCCATCTCCATGACTGCAGGTATATTGTTTGTCTGTATTTACTTCATTCACCCATCCCCCCCCTTGTCAGGCTCCCAGGACTCAATATGTGTAACATGCAATAAGAGTAAAAATATTGAGCTTGGTTTGGCTTTTGTTTCAAACTTTCAGTCCCCTATGACAAGAAAATCATAAGAACAGTTTATGTCATGGTGAGCCAAAAGCAGAGAACGGGGAAACTTTGGTCCTGGAGAGTTTGCCACACTTTTCTGCCTTTACGGTGTTTGGCTCCATTCCATGATGTAGTGCTATGCACACTCATGGTGGGACTCCCCTCAGTTAATCCTCTTTGGATACAGTCTCACAAATGCATTCCCAAGGGCATGCTTTACCAGACTTTGTAGCATGAACAAATTCCTGCACACTTATTAAAGACATACTCACCAAAGCAGAATTGATGGGAGAGAGAATTCCTTGAGGCTATATTTCACTCATGACCTTTGCCATTCTAAGACAGGGATCTCATATATGTTCTTTCATAATAATGTACACTTTGCTATTGTAATTTTTTTTGCTTTGGAACTTAATCACAATATGAATGTGGAAGTAAATATTGTATATGCCCTTCTTATTAAAATTTTGATACTATGATACTACTGACCTATTAATAACTAGGAGATAACAATTTCACAGTTGTTACCTGAGAAAAACTGAGAGTGATTTTCATTTACTGCAAAATCAAAGCAGGATGAAGAACAGAACAATTGTAGAGAATGCAAGCGACTATTCACTGATATATTTTTGATGGTTAAACTTCTTTTCCATTTGATTAATTTGTAACCTCTTATTTCACATTTCCTAGTGTTTCAGACAGGATAACTTGCATCCAAACGATTTTTTTTTAGTCTTTTGACATGTATTTTTGAGAGTTTTCTTAACTGTCAGGGTTTTTCTAGAGAAAAAGAATCAATAAAATCCATAGAGTGAGATGCAGGAGGGAGAGTTCGAGAGAGGGAGAAATAGAGAGACAGAGACATATGCAGGATTTATTGGGTTAGCTTATGTTATGAGGTCTGGGTAGTCTAACAATATCTAAAAAGTATCTACACACTGAGGAGGCAAAAATTACTTTAGCAATTCAATCCAAAAAGGTGGAAGCCACAGCATTCAGAATCTGATGATGAAATCCTTGAAGATCCTACAAAATTCCTGGTATTGAGCTTACACTGAAAAACAAAGATGACAGAGACTGATGACAGTGAAAGATGTTGGCAAGAGAAAGACACACACTTGCCAGGAAGAATATGCAAGGAAGATATGCATATGGTGCCTTTTGTTGTTCTTTTTACACATTACCTCCTTTGTTGTAAAGTATGCTCACAGTGAGGCATGTCACTGTCTTGCATATTAATCTTCGTTGGAACGCCCATCACGCAGGGGCATTTCGCCATTCTTCAGTATCTCTTCATTTGGTTATGTGGACTAACAAGTATAACATCACACTTATAATCTTCTCTACTTCAAAATTTCACCACGCCACACCTTACATAACAATTGATGGGTCTCATGGGATTGCATTTCTCACATGAAAATATCTCTGATTTTTCATTTCCCATTACTACTTGCCTTCAGAGACTTTATTCCATAGTCAATTCTCTAGATTAGTCTCTATTGTGGTGATCTTTTTGTGATTTATTAATTTTTTGTATTTTTCTGACCACTATTCTCATTGGATGTGAAGCCTAAACATCTGAAGTTTTCACCTTTCAAGAAGTTCATTTTCTGGATATTTGATCTGTTTGGTATCTCCTGTCAGAAGTCTTCTGCTGCCCACCAATTGGAAATGTATCAGAAATTTAAGAACAAATCTGAAATTTCAGACTATCATTGCTTTAGTCAGGTGTAATTCCTTCTCATTGCCAGCACAGAAGTTGAGTAAAATGTGGGAGTTATACTAAAGGCTTTCAAAATTTCTGTGATTATGCAGTAACCTGTTAGCCTCGGTATTTTCAGATTCACAAGGGAGGTGATTGATTCTAACAAATATATATTCATCCAAACTGTATGTTCAATCCTTATTAGACAGATGTACATCAGAGGAGTATGATGCTTTTTCATGCTATGTTCAATTGTGTACATTTTGTCAGAATCCACAGATGAAAACTTTATAATTTAGATCTCTCTTATGGCACCCTTCACCCTAATTTGCTTCTAAATTATGAATTACTATAGAATATTTTACTCACAAATTTGACAGCTTCCCACTTTAATTTATAAGGCTGTACTATTTGTAATGGTGGAACTTTTATAAAGTTGAAGTCTGACATTCTTGTCCATTTTGTAATCTATAGACTCAGAAATTTCATATGATGACAATGTTGAACACTTATTTTAACTTTTTTAAAATTCATTTTATAATAACCTCACCATCCTAAATGAATAAATATTTATTACATGTGTTATTATATAATAGAAGAAAATGAGGTTGTCTCTAATAATCTAAAATAAATAAGCAAATAAATAAGCACAATACATTAGTAAATAATAGAATCCTTTCTGTAGCCTGCATAACACACAGAAGTCTATTGCCAGAGCTGACGAGAAGACAAGAACTATGCTTTTCTCCTTAGATGATAGCCTGCTAATCAGATACTTCTATTCACAGTGTGTGTAAAGTAATTTCTGCATTGTTTCTTATCATAGTGACATATATTTGTCTCAAAATTTTTCTTCAAAATGCTCAGTTTTTGGGGTTTGGGGAAGAGATATCCTTGGATAAGGTTGCTTTCTTTAGAAACATAAAGATCTGTCTGAGTTTCCAGCACTCTCTTAAAGAGCTCAGGTTTTCTGTGTGCTAGTGACATTAGTGCTGTGAAGTAGAGACAGGGGATTGCAGTTCACTAGTTAGCTTGACTAACCTATAATGAGATCTTTTTGTTCAGCGAGATAGAAGAAAGGAAAGATGCATGGAGGAAGCACTATATTCAACATCTTATTCTGACCTATGCGTACATACTTGGGTGTGCACACTTAGATAATCAGGTGCATTAAACCACATGTATGCAGACACTATGCATGTGCAACACAGACCACATTTTACACAACAAGGAATTCTGTGACAGATTATTAACATTCTACTGCCTCTAAATGAACGTTTTCTTCCCCATTGAAATTGCCTATTAGATCTATTTGTGCTTCACTCATGCAGGGAAAGTGTTTAAAAAGTGAAATAGTATTTATTGTATGTTTTTTCACAGTATCTCAAACACCATTTGTAAAATATCTACTTCATGTTTTATTCTCACAGTCATTAGAGATCATTTTGTATCTATAATCATTATAGATCATGTTTATCTATAAAATAATGTTGATAGGTGAAAGACATTTTTCCAACCTTATTTTATGACTGTATTCTCACAATTGCAGCTATAGTCAAAGCTTATCTCACTTCTATTTATATTTGAAAGGGATATTTTCTGACACTTCTAAGGTATTTACATACAGAGTGCAATTATGTCTACTCTTTCTGTTTAGGACATTCACTATTTTATCCAATAATTTTATGGTGTAGTATAATGGTCTTTAGACACACAGTTCAGCTATTTATCTATGCTGCACACTCAATTTCTGGAAAATTACATCAAGAGAAATATAAAAGTGGTAGAGACTTTTATTGATTTTTCATTGGCATTTGACTCTGTGGGCAGAAACTAGTTACAACCTAATCTATACTGACTCGGTGTAAAACGCCAGATAATAAACCATGTCTCGGCGAGAATTTTAATAACACATTGAAATTCACGGATGGTGGAATAACTGTTCTTCACTTTGATTCCCCTAAATCTCAGACATTTCAGTGGTGGAAGAAAGATACCATTCACTACTACCTGGTGTCCATATATCTATAGTACTTTTAAAATCATCTATGATTTCATATGTAATTAGGAATTGAGTCATCAAAACTTAAAATATGTGTTACTTACTATTGGAAATGGAATTATATAACCATTTTCTATAATAAAGGAAAACATATACTCTAGACAATGATTCTGATATAATGACAAGATGTAGTAAAACTTGCAACTATGTGCATTTTGTTATAGCATTTAATTTTCACAGATAAATTTTAAGATGAATAAAATTTATTTAGACATCCTCTTACTTAACACTTCCATTACAAAACTTGACCTACTGAGAATCTTTTATAGTAAAGGAAGAGATATTAATAAATATTCCATGAGAACAAATCCAGAATCAAACTCTCTTTGTTTAGAGAGTCATGTGTACTTAGAAAATTATGAGTGTTTTGATTTGTGTGGATATAAACTATTCTTTTTTTCTTTAACAAAAAATTTTGATTTATTCTATTTATGTGGAGATAAGGGCATATTACTGAATTTGTATTTAAGGGCAAGTATGGAAATTAATAAACTACAAGGACATTAGTCAGATACATTAAATTTAAGAAGACACAATCAAATGTATTTACACCTACAATACTGTATTATAAATGTGTCTATATGGCAGATACCCATAATCAGTGATTAGAAAAAAATGTCATCTTTTCAAAATATTGAGGATTCTGTATTAAAACATATAAT